ACAAAACAAACAAACAAACAACAAAAAAAAACCATAGAACCATGACAGTTTCCTAAGCAGTTTAAACAAGGAATGTCTATAAAACTCTGAAGTCAGCACACTACTTCAGTATACATTTATTCAATTGATTTCTGAGAAATAAAAGTAATGTGCCTTAATCACAGATATCATGTAAGTCTGCTTTATAAAATAATAACAGAAAAAAGACACGTAGTGAAAGCGATTATATGAGCAACAGCTAATTTGACTAAGCACAGTAACTTTAATCCTACTACAAATAGAATAATAGGTTACAGAGTCTATTCCATTTTATAACTCCATGCCAGATTTTAAAACAAAGAAGCATTTTTGTGTCATCTTTTTTTTCAATTAATTTAAAAAAGGCTGTATTGTTCATCCCTGTTAGTATGCTGTAGGCTTCATAGAATCATAGAAACGTAAAATGGCTTGGGTTGGAAGGGACCCCGAGTTCCAACCCCCCTGCGCAGACAGGGCCATCAACCTCCTTATCTAATATTAGACCAGGCTGCCCAGGGCTCCATCTAAGATGGTCTGGAACACCTCCAGGGATGGGGCTTTCACAGCCTCTTTGGTCAGCCTGTTCCAGCACCTCACCACTCTGTTTAAAGTACTTGCCCCAATATCTAATCTAAACCTTCCCTCCTTGAGCTTAAAACCATTCTCCCTTGTCCTATTATTGTCTACTCAAGTAAAAAGTTGATTCCCCGCCAGTTTATAATCCCCTTTTAAATACTGGAAGGCTGCAATTAGATCTCCTTGCAGCCTTCTTTTCTTCAGGCTGAACAAGCCCAGCTCCCTCAGCCTGTCTTTGTAGGAGAGGTGCTCCAGCCCTCTGATCATCTTCACGTCCTTCCTCCAGACCTTCTCCTACAGCTCCACATCTTTGCAGTATTTGGCCCCAGACCTAGATGCAGTACTCCTGATGGGACTTCACAAGAGCAGAGTAGAGAGCGACAATCACCTCCCTGTCCCTGCTGGCCACCCCTCTTGTGACGGAGCCCAGAATACCATTGGCCTTCCAAGCTGCAAAAGCACACTGCTGGCTCATGTTCAGTTTTTCATCTACCAGGACCCCCAGGTCCTTCTCCACAGGGCTAGTGTCAAGGAGTTCTTCTCCCAGTCTGTATATATGCATCTGGAGTTACTCTGACCCAAGTGCAACACCTTGCACTTTGCTCTGTTGAACATCATGCGATTCACATGGGCCCACCACTCAAGTTTGTTGAGGTCCCACTGGATGTTTTAACTTCCTTCTAATGTGTCAACAACACCTCTCAGCTTGGTGTCACCAGCAAATCTGCTGAGGGTGCATTGAGCCCATCATCAATGCCACTGATGAAGATGTTGAAGAACACCAGTCCCAAGACAGACACCAGTAGGACACCACTTGTCACCGGTCTGTACCTGGACATAGTGCCATTCACTACAACCCTCTGTCTATGGCCTTCCAACCAATTCCTTATCCACCCCTCAAATCTGTATCTTTCCAATTTAGAGATAAGGATGTGGTGGGGGACCACGTCAAAGGCCTTGTACAAGTTTAGGTAGATTATATCAGCCACCTTCATTTTGTCCACCAATGCTGTCACTCCATCACAGAAGCCACTAGATTGATCAGGCAAGACCTCCCCTTGGTAAAGCCATGCTGGCTGTCTCAGATCACCTGCTTGTCCCTTGTGTGCCTTAACATGTCTTCTAGGAGGATCTGTTCCATGATCTTCTCAGGCAGAGTAGTGAGGCTCACTGACCTGTAGTTCCCCAGGTCCTCCTTCCGCCTTTTCTTGTAAATGGGAGTGATATTTCCTTTTTTCCAGTCCCTGGGGACTTCATCCAACAGACATGACTTTTTAAATATGATGGAGAGCTGCTCAGCAACCACATCAGCCAGCTCCTTTAAGACACTGGGATGCATGTCCTCTGGCCCCATAGACTTGTATACATTCAGTCTAATGGGGTGGTCTCGGACCTGCTCTGCCCTTAAAGCGTAGGGGGATTTACTCCCCCAGTTCCCACCTAGAGGACCAGGGGTGCAAGCTTCAGGGAAATGAGAAATATAGGAATCCCGGCTGCCAGGGAAGACTGAGGCAAAAAACCTCATTTAGTATTCAGTCTTCCCCTTATGTGTTGTAGCCAGTTCTCCTTTCTCTTTTACCAAAGGAGATAAACAAACAAACAAACAAACAAACAAAAAAAAAAAAAAAAAAAAAAAGGAGCTTCAGTTGCACGGCTGGCAAATTAGCATTTCTGCTATGACTAACAAAAAACAGAAGATTTGATTTGAATGTTTTAGTCCATGTATGTTCACAAGATTATTTTTCATGATAGAATAAGCTCCTTTCTACATATGAAGCCAGCAAAACAGGGCTTGAAAAGTTATTTTACTTTTGCTAAGGTTCATTCCTCTTTACAATCACCAAAATAACATATCAGTCAATGATGAGCCCTCTTCACAGGTATTAAATATGCAGGTGTAGTACACATATTTGTTATGAACTGGTATGTCAACTGATTAATTGCTATGGCCCATTGTCATTCAGTGGACTGATTATTTCCTTGGTGGAGAAAAAGTCTCAGGGCAGCATATAAAGAAAATGATGATGGTTGAAATCCTGGAATGAGGTGGGCATTTTTTTATTGATAATAATGAGATCAGGATTTAATCTAAGGAGTTCTTAGAAGATGGTAATCTTACTGAAAGAAGATCCTGTATGGTTGCTCTTCTTAATGAATTCTTCATAGTGACCGTGAACTTGAGAGAATATGAATACGTTAAATTTCTGTGCTAATAAAAGCCTGTGCTTCTGTCTTCCATCCGTGCTACAGAGGAGAGCATTAAGGACAGCCTCTGAAAAGCTCAGGAATCGTTCCTCTTTTTCTACCAATGTTGTGTACAACACTCCAGGAACTCGAGTAAACAGATACATCAGTCGTTTGATAGAGGCCCGGCAAACTGAGTCTGAGATGGCTGACCTGAACTTCTTTACACTGAAGTATAAACAAATTGAGCGTGAAAAGAAAGTAAGGAGTTTCAAATACTTTTTACTGATTTCATTGACCAATGAGCATTGCGTTGTTGTTGCTTTTTTTGTTGTTGTTGTAGACAGTATTTAAATTCTTCTCACTACCTTTAAATAATCTGATGGACTGTCTTTTAGCTAAAAGGGAAAAATTATCTCTACCTTCTATGGAAGAACTTGGAGGAGGCAAAAGAAAGATCAGAATCTTTCTACGTTTCAAGCTCCTCATACTTTCTCATGACAATGTGACTGCCTACTGATTCACTGGCTCTGTAAAAGGTTTGATGATAGGAGGACACTTCTCTCTGCATATGTTGTCTGATGAGAACTGATCCAATCAATCCTATAAAATATAAAGGAATACTTAATTCTCTTGGTACACCACATACTGTACTGAAAGCTGTGGACTTACTTCAGACGTGTAAGCACATAAATATATAGGAAGAGTTATAAAATCGTAGAATCTTCATAGAATCACAGAATTGTTTGAGTTGGAAGGGGACACTTAAAGGTCATTTAGTCCAGCTCCCTTGCAATGAACAAGAACATCTACAGCTAGATCAGGTTATTCAGAGCCTGGTCCAACCTAAGCTTGAATGTGTCCAGGGATGGAGTGCCCACTGCATCTCTGGGCAGCCTGATTCAGTGCCTAACCACCTGTATTGTAAAAAACATCTTCCTTATATCCAATCTAATCCAATTATTTTTCTTTTTTATTTTTCCACTTATGGAGGGCAAAGATTAATTGAGATGTTTCAATTCAACTGTACTGTGTTTCTAGAAATACTTAGAACTTTCGAATCTTTCAAATCTTTCATGTGATTTTTTTTTTCTGTTTCTTTTTTCCTTCTTTTAATATCATAACATGAAGTTTAAATAATCCAAAATTTCCTTGAAATGTTTTTTTTTTCTCTGCAGTTAATGTGCTTTTCCAGGCTACTCTGTATTTCACACTTGTACTTGTTGCGGGTAGCCAACTTGAAAGTAACATATATATATATATATAAAATGAACTATTTACTGTAAACTTTGTTTGCTGAGAAAATCCTGCATCTTGCAAGACTCGGTATATTGTCTCTATTCTTGCATTACAGTGTTAAAGTATGTGAAAACCCGGCCTCAATTTCCATTGATTTTAACTTCTATGTGTGGATCTCTACTGAGTTGCTTGCACTGATGTTATTATCACATCCCAATTAGGAGTATTTCTGTGTAAATCTAGAATTGTTCTGACAAAAGCAAATTCTAACATTAGGTGGTAAAAGAAGATTGAATTTTTGAACTTCTTGGGAAAACAACTTTTTCTGTTGTAGGGACTGTGCTTCAGTGGAATTAGGGAAAATAATTGTTTAAAAGTGAACCTGAGTCTCTCAGTAGCACCTGTGCGCTGTCCTGAGCGCTTCAGATGACAGTATTCCTTAAAAGCAGCACCAAGTGTTTTTTGATGTTTTGGAGGTGGTGAATAAGAGTAGGAGGAAAGGAGCGCCTCCTTCTTCAGCTTAAAAAAAGGCTGAATCATTTTTGATCCAAAAAATAAAAATATTCCTGTGTCTGGCCTGGATTTGTCTAATTTGAGTGTGAAAGCTAAATAGGTAGGCCAATAGAAACAGCTGAAATAAACCTGTCAAGCAAAGACTTCTGTAGACTATCCTCATCCAATTTTTTTTTTTTTTTGTGAATTAAGCAATGATAATATTTATGCTTGTGAAGTGGCCTTAGGTTGTTGCTCTTTCTTGCGAAGAGTGGACAAGTGTGAGTGGCTGGCTGGGTATACATTAAATGCTCACTGTCTTCATTGTCTCCTTTCTTTAACAGTACCACCAGCTTCAGGATGAATACTTCACCAGTGCTGTAGTTCTCTCACTAATTCTAGCTGCCTTATTTGGCCTTGTCTACCTTCTAATAATACCACAGTAAGTTTCTATCTTTTGCCACTATAATCCAAATTAAAATATCTTCAAGTAGCCTGCACAGAACTGAAATGCTATTATCTCTGGAAAGGCAATTAGCAACCAGACTGGTAGCTTCTCAATTAAGAGAGTCTCTGATGGTATATCCTCAGACTAACTTAACTTTTCCATTTGTCCAAATGAACCACAAATATAGTTTGGCCATTCTTACGTGAATTGTAGTCAGAGCTTGGCTGCACTAAAGCAGACATATTCATGTTGTATTTGAGAATGCGTTTGGTGCTCTTATTGAATACTATAATGTATTAATTCAAGTACTGTCAATGCTATATTAAATGTTTACTACAGACAAATTAGACTTCATTCCAAAAATCTTTAAGTTACAGGTTGATGCTATTTCAAATAATTTCAATAACTTGATAATGATTTCATTTTTTCAGATGAGAATAGCAAAAGTAAACTTCATTCGCACTTATAAATTATCAGGATTTCAATGGAGATGAAATGGGCCACAGGATAATACTTTAGAAAATCTCATTTTAATTCAAATCTTTTCTATTCACAAATCTCTAGTTAGAATAACACTCTTATATGGTTCTATTATTTCTAATTGAAAGTTTGAGGGACACATTGTTAATTTTAATAATAGTCACTGGCGTATAATTTTTTTACCTAACGTCTGAAAAATTCAAAGTAACTTGCAAAAAATCATCTGGTTTCCAGACAAATTACTTCTGTTGACTAACTGGAGCACAGTTGAGAACTATTTCATCTACTTCTGTACACCTACAGTAGGTGGAAGAATTTGGATTCCATGAAATTTAAAATAAGGAGAAATAAAGAGCATTAGTGTCACTGGAACTAGACTGAATTTGCAAGAATATTTGCCATGATAATTGTTAACCTTTCCAAAAAGTAGCATTACTCCAAAAAAAAAAGCTGGACAGGTTTTCAGATTCAGCTATTATGTGACAGATAATAGAAGATACAGCAGAACATGAACACTCTATGCCATGAAAATGGATTGGTTCATCATTGGGCAAGCTAGAAAAGCCACATACTGAATGGTAACATCTTCCAATAAACATGTCAGTCTTAACTTTAGGCAATCAAACTGTGACTCTTTCCTTGCTGTGGCACAGATGAAACCACGAGCTTGACTAAAACTGTGAAAATACCAGAAATTTTCCTTCTCCACAAAACCTGGAGCTTAAAGTTGCTCTTCAGATTGCCAAAAGTACTTCTAAGTATGACAAGCAAATGCAAAAACCAAGACAAGAAGTGTGAAGTGTTACTATAATGGGAGAGGTGATAATAATGGTCTTCAATATGTGTTACAGTCTTCCAAGGGGAAAGTTAAAAAATCTAGACAAAAAATTGTTGTAAGAAAGACATTTGCTGCATAAATGCACAAAAAGCTTGACATTTTCGCTGTTCCTGTAATCATCTCAGCACAACAGCTTGACAGCTGAACACATATTTATATCCTCAGATGTGTCTGATGGAATAAAGGCTACATTCTTGTCAACTTAAGCTCTCCAGTTATTAAGGCAAAAATACAACCTAGCCACTAAAAACCCTGATGATCAATCTTTCTGATATCTCAGTGGGTTCATATTCAAAAAACTCTTCTTTTCTGGTAGCAGCCCAGTATCTTTCAAAGTCCCGCTCAGCACTAGTGTGAATGGTTGGATACTGTTGCATTGAAAGACACTTGCAGTCATGTTCTCTCCATTGCTTCCTTGCAGTACTACCATCCTAAATACACTCCAGTTCTCTAAAAATATAGAGGAGCCTGCTGTCTATTAATACTTCTATTCAGAATCCACATTATAATCTCAAGTTACTTCTTGGTTCTAGATACACATACTACATCACAGCGTTATCCCTTTTTGTGTATTGATGACTTCTTGCATAAATTCTTGCATGAACTTCAAATCAAAAGCAAATACTGACATGTAGCAAAAGACTTCTCATTTTCTTCTACTGTTAGAAACTGTATAAGCAATTTTTCAAGACTGATAGCAAGATGCATGTTATTTTCACAGGACTAGAAAAGAAGGTGTGAAAATTATCTTATGCTTTGAAATGCGTGCTTGGTTCCATAGCTGGCAAGGAGATGGGAAGTCCCTAAAAATAATCAAAGCGCCAGTAATAGTGGACTAATTTTTGCCATATCTATAAAGTACTGCTCCAATAACGTAACGTTGTTGAGTAAGGGAAGTACTAGGCTTGTACTCCTAAATTAAGAACAAACCTATTTTGAAAGCTCAGAAAAAGGAAGATTAAGAATTACCAGAATTATTACAAGCATCTTCAAGAAAGCTAAGATTTTTCTTACTGTTTGAGGAAGACTCAAATGGAAGGAGTTGCTCTGTGTCGGTAGAAGGGAGTGCAGTCCAGTCTGACTTTATTTGACTTGATAAATGACGGAGTTGACTGGGCTCTGATTACTCAGTCTTTGAGGAGAAATTAGAAGGGAAAAGCAGGTAGTAATTGATACACAGTTGCCAAGATCAACTAATGGAGAGTTGAGCTCTCCATTTATAGGAGTCATCATGCTGAATATTCTGCATTAGTCCAAAATTAGAAAGTGTATTTCCTTGCACCCTGTATAGGTGAATTTCTGAGTTGCTTTGATCCCCTTGCTAAGATCACAGTGTGTGCCACAAACGAGAAAGTTTACTGATTTCTCATTCTTGAAAGCAGCACATTTTACTGTGATTTTTTCCCTGAAATGGTTAGTTTTACAATAAAATCACAGGGGGAAATCCTCCAGCATTTGTCCATCACCATTTCAGAAAAACATCTCTGCTATTTGTTTTCATATCTGCTACTAAGTTAAGTACTAACTTATTGTATTTTATGTTATTATTAACCTATTGAATTTTGATTCTAGGAGTACCATAGTTCTTGTTCTCCTGGTGTTCTGCATATGCTTCCTAGTGGCTTGTATTATGTACCTACATGTCACAAGAGTACAAGTAAGTGATTTAAGATTATTTTATTATTCTTTCTTTTAGTGGCTACACTTTGTTTCTTCAATGAACTACAAAGCCATCATTGCGTGCTCCATAGCATGAGATCTGAGATCTATCTGCTTTTTAAGATTATTGCTGAGTAAAACTGTAGGCATTTCAAAAAAAAAAAAAGATTATTTACTTGAAGACAGATCTCTTACATTAATAATTTTTTTCCAGCATTGTAGCCTTCAGTGCTATTAATGCTATGTTTTTTTGTTTGATTGATTGATTGATTGCTTGATTTTTTTTGCAACGGTCTTTTACATGAATAATTTTTTTCAGCACTGTAGCATTCAGTCCTATCATTATTATTGGGGTGTGGAGTTTTGCTGGTTGGTTGGTTGATCGGTTGGTTGGTTGGTTGGTGGGGTTTTTTTGCAATTTCTCCCTGAGCACCTACCACTAGTTACTAAAACCATCCAAGTGCCCAAATGAATAGCTGCTTTAATCTGGATTTTTCTCCTTTCTGACAAGGAAGCATGAATCCTTCCACTGCAATTAGTATTTAAGTGTGAAGTGCTGCTAACTTCCTCTTTGTTTTCAAAACTTCTCCTGTCAAATAATCAACCACTTTCCTGGTAAAGTGTCTTGCAAATACACTCTTGGCCTTTTCAAAATCTTAAGAAATAATTAGTTCTTCTCCATTACATTTTCACAACAGTAATAATGCAGAACATCTGGTTGTTGTAGAAGAGAAGGTCTACTATATCAGTATAGTTTCTGATGAAAACTATCTGTGGTGGCTTAAACCAAATTTATTATTTTTTTTCAGAAAATAATCAGAAGAAACACCTACACAGTTATTCTGCTCTGCTGATTAGCACACACTAATTTTTAGTTAGAAAATATGGCCTTTGGCAGGAGAAAGGTAATTGTTTTCATGGAAACATAAATAGCATCTTAGCAGAGTATCTGGTACATAACAGATCTTTATAAACTTAGACAATTTTATAGGAGTAATTTTAATTATCTCTTTTGTTTCATGAAGGAACAGTACTTTATTAAGTGTTGCATGATCATTAGATACAGATGGAGTTTGTGGGAAATTGTTCCACTTTATGTAATTTCCCTGGGGCTAGTGCAAACTTAAGGTTTGTTTCAGCAGTCAACAGGATTTATAATTTATTCAGGTTTCTCTAGAGATTCAGTATTTTATTGGATGAAATCCAGCATTAGAAAAACAAAACAAAAAAAAATTAAAATTTAGAATATAGCAGTGCTGACAAATTTGTCTTGTATATCAAATAAATTATAATATATTATGTGTAATGAATACAGAATTGTGAACTGGGGACTCCTGTGTTCAAATTATTCTTCTGGTACTTTTCTAGCATTATATTACACTAGGAAGTATAAAGTGTAATTATTAAAAGATGCTTCAAGCTTTATAATCTTACTCGTAAAATCACTATAATAATTTTGAACATTACTGGTTACCTAGCATTTAGGGTATCTAACACTACATCTTTAGTTAATAAAAATCCCACAAATAAAACCAAGAAAATTTTGCCCAAAATGCTGTACTGTTCTGAAAGAGCAGATGCTGTTTTAGAGTGACCAAAAAGTCAGAAATATAAACATTTTATGCTTTAATCAGAGCATTCGGTCAGATGTGTCTTGTACCTTACCTTTTAAAATTTTACTTTCCTTTTTATCCCACTGCTCTAGCATGTTAATATTTATAACATACACACAACACACACCAAGAAAAATGTCTATGCAATGTGTTGGAACTGTTTTGAATCGGCATTTTGCTTTGTACTTGTTTACCATGCAGCATTATCTTCAAACTATGGAAATTCTCAACATTTTATTATTACTGCTTTATCCTGTGCGAGCAACTTCATTGCACCCTGAATTAACTGAATATACTTATCTCCTTGTACAAAAGCATTATAACAGCATTTTATACATATGGATAAAAATGAACCATCTGCTTCATATATATAGATAGATTTTAGTCTAGGAGAGTAAACATCTTGATGATTAAATGAAAACCAGTCTGGATGATCAGGTTCAGATAACAGGTCATACTTCACTTGGAAGGCAGTAGTAAGTGGAGTACCACAGGGGTCTACCCAAGTGACTTGTCCTGTTTAACATATTTGTCAAAACCTGCAGGAGGACAGACTAGATAATCTTTACGATGCTGCTCTCTCACTCCCCCTCCTCAAAAAAACAGAAAAAGGCTCAAGAGTTGAGATAAGGACAGAGAAATCTCTCTACAACTACTATCACAGGCAAAACAGACACCATAGAAGAGAGATTCATGTTATTTATTTCCTATTGTTAGTTATAGATAGCACAGTGAGAATCTAAAAATAGACTAAAAACACCTTCGCTCTCTCTTCTCCTTCCTCCTTTTGAGTGGCATGAGGTAATGGGGAATGGAGGCTGCTTCATCTCTGCTGCTCCTTCATTGTCACTCTATTCTTCTCCATCCTGGGATTCCCCCACAGGCTGCATCTTTTCTATCCCATGTGGGCTTCCCACAGGCTGTAGCTCTTCTAGTACTGCACCTATGGGGTACTATTGTGCCCATCCTTCAGGAGGGCACTGCTCTAGCATGGGTCCATACTGGCAGCAGCTCCCTCAGACCTCCTGCTCCACTGCAGGCTTCTCTTCACAGGCTGCAGCTCTGACCCAGGGCCTGCTTCTGCAGGGGCTGTCCATGGGCCACAGCTTTCTGCTGCACCATGAGCTCCTCCACAGGCTACATGCAGAGATGTGCTCTGCATGGTGCCCCATGAACTGCTGGGGCACAGCCTGTTCTACCCTAGACCTCTCTGTGGGCTGCTGGGAACTTCTACTCCACACTTGAAGCACATCCTGTCCTTCTTCTGCACTGACCTGGACATCTGCAGGACTGTTTCTCACATTTTCTCACTCTTCTCTCTAAGCTGCTTTTGCACAACAGTTTTTCCCTTTCCTAAACCTTCTCTTCCAGCATCAGAGCCAGTGTTGCTCCCAGCTCAGCTCTGGCCAGCTCCAGATGTCTCTTTTGGAGATGTCTGGAACTGGCTCTGATCTATCATGGGGCAGCTGCTGGGCACTGCTCACAGAGGCCACTTGCTGTTACTGAAACATTGCCACATAAAACCAACACAGTATGGGTTGGAACAAACATAAATACTATACCCTGGCAGACTTGTCCTCCCTCTCTCATCTTTTGGCGTACATTTCATTCGTGGAGATGAGTAAGAGATTCACAAGACTCTATTCCACTAGACATTTTTTTCCCAATGCTGTTTCTGCTCTGACAAATTCAGTGTTTTTAACGGGTTCTGATAATTCAAACTATCCTGACATTTAGTGTGACTATTATAGCAGAAGACACAAATACCATTCCAAAGTTCCATGCTATCACAGTATGTTCTCTTGGTTCATCTGAAGTTGATAATTTGCAAGGCAAAACGTGTTGTATACATTCCTCAGGGGAAAAAAAGTCTAATGCCATCCCACTTTGCATTATGAATGGGCATCCTACTAATAGTCCAAAGAATTTTAATTTTAGTGAGAAATAATGTATAGTAATCATAATTTCATGTGTATTACCCCAGAAATGCAATTGCTATTAAAACATATAGTCACAATTATTACTGCTACGTATGTATGTAATTATAAATGCATGCTTGTTTCTTAATTTACATTGCAGGAAAACATCACTTTCTTTGCTATATAAAGCCACTAAATAGTAACAACTCCACTTCTAAAAATATTTCTAAAATATGTATTAATCTTTTTTCTCTTTCTTAGTGTTTTCCAGGGTGCCTAACAATACAAATTCGTACCATTTTGTGTATTTTTATTGTGATCTTAATATACTCTGTGGCTCAAGGATGTGTGGTGAGTATTTAAATCAACTTTAGCTTTCTGTTTAAGAACAATGTTTTACAGATACCAGTGAGCATGTACAACGATTAATTATTAACTCTTTTAATTATTGTTGTTGGCAGAGCAAGTTTCTTCAAAACTTACTTTGTTTAGTTTGAATTTTCACAATCTTGAATAAGAGTACTGAGTTAGGAATGGCGAAGTTACTAGCATATCGTATAGATAATACATAGACAAAAACTGTGGAAATTTTTATATCTAAAGATAGGATCACTGCAAATCTGCAATTGCCACGTTCTTTATGGAAAAATCATTTTTAAATGTTAAACTTGATTAATAGTTTAATGGCTAGTATAGTGTGACAGACAATGTATGGTCACAAGGTTATTTCTGTGTGACAACTAATAGAAAATATTTCTGCATGGTAACAGATATTTTATGTCTAGATAGATCAGAAAAGATAAAAAAATCTTAGAAATCTGGATGATATAGAATAAGAGGTTTTTACACTGTACTTTTTATACAGTCCACTTGAATCTATTGTCTGAGGAGCTGATGTGAAGTACGTGCTCAGCATTCTGAAAAACTGAGTTTCTTTAACAGCTAGTTCTACATGGTGAATGCCTAAATATTTGGCATGCAGTTGCTTTGTTGAATTCTCAGCACTCAATTTCAGCACTTTGTCCATGAATGAATTCAATATTCTAAGGTACCCAAAGGAAAGAATCCACACAAAAATAGCATACTAAACAGAATTGGAACTTCTGAGGAAGCAGATGTCTCAAACCATGCCTCTCTGTGGGATGCAAGCAATGTGTTCTAAGCAATAAGAAGACAGTGGTTTCAGGAGCAATGCTGACTGTGATGCCACACTCATTATTTCATATTTTATGTATTCACTGGTCCCTGGATGTGCCCTGGGAAAATCTATCAAATTGAACTGAATGGGCAGAGGATCCCTTGTCCTGATCCAATGTCTTGAGGGGTACCGAGAATTCCTGATATTCAGATATTTCTTGGATTTCCTGAACATCATCTGTGTAAGAGCACACAGATTCCTCATGTGCCTATAAACCTAAATAGATATGCAGTGCTTCCAGTCTAGCTAGCCTCTCAGCAACCCAAAAGTTGCTATACAAAAGTACATCTCACTTTTAGACTTAGATGAATGTCATGACAGTGGAAGTTTTGTGGATCATCCCCTATATACTTGACGCTTACTTGACCGAGATAATAGACAGTGAAAATAAAATACAGAACTCGTAAATAGCTAAGATAATCTTGAATTTCAAATTTCAGCAGAAGGAAGATTGGAATTTAGTTCTGGACTCCAATAAGGATCATCCAGTTACAACTTAAAATAGGCCATGAATATAAATTTATCCCTTACTGAAGTAAAATAAAAATAAAAATAAAAGCCTTCATCCATTGAAATACTTAGGATAAGTGTTTGATCAGTAGAAAACACTGGTTCTTCAAATTCTCATCCAGCAGAGAAGCTAGGTATTGAGATTTTACTTAGTTACAGAACAGATGCATTTTTCCTGGAAGAATTGCACATCATTCGTAAAGTCTTCGTGCATGCTTTTTTTTTCAGATGACTGCAGTATGAAGAGCATTTTTAAGGACATTGAACAAAATCACATTGAATTGATTTTTCACCTCAGCCTTTACAATTTCATTTCATAATGTTAATCAGTATTTTAACTCACATTTATCTGCAGTGTCTCATCTATTTGAATTACTACGAAGTCCTGTATATTCATTGATCACCTTTCAGATTTTCATTTATTTTACAGCATGCTGTAAAATTTCATTATTTGTGGTTAGGATAAAGTAAAAAGGTCTAATAACACACTTCAGAAAAGAAGCTTAAGTACAGAGCAGGGCTTATGTGGCAATTCCTGTTAAAATCAATTTCACACTGCAGTCCCACTCTCCTCATTTATGTTAGCTCTAATCTTCTCCCTTAGTAAAGCGTGAAGATTGGAGTGCAGTTAAAACTGTACTGCAGCTGTTTGCCACTGATTCCTCCCTTCCTTGTAGAAGAGGTTTGAGATCTATATGTGGCATTGCCTTTGAAAGAATCTGATTAAAAATCATCGTGTACCAAAAAAGTTGTTTTTTTTTTTTTTTTTTAATATCCTATTCTAGAGAAGAAATTGATCAAAGATAACTATGTGGAATGGATATTAAGAGACAAGATACAATATTTGAATCGTATGTGATAGATGAATTATCTCTGAGGTAGAGAAGATATGTTTATCCATGCCTGCTTTTTCAAATAAAAATTAAAATATCTTTTATTTTATATTTGATTAATTGAAATTGATATGGCTTACATAGTTCACAAATCAGACACATTTATATATGGGCTTTCTCATCCAAATAACAATATAAAATACTTTCTGAAGTTCATAAGTTTTTCACACTTACTTTGGGTTGAAAATATTTTGGTTTTGAGCACTGAAAGGGAAACTGCTCAAATAATTCCAGGCTTTAATTAGTTGGTCTTGCTGACAACTAGTGAACAAAACATTTATCCCACACAAAACATAGCATTTCAAGAAGATTTTATTAGAGCAATTAATTGTTTGGGAACTCTATATCCATTTATTCCCAATTAGTACTGAACTACAGTCAATCCCCACACCAGCTGCATTTCTGTTCATTTCACAATTAACTTTCTCCTCTTTTCTCCTCTCCTATCTTTTCTAGGTTGGATGCATGCCTTGGGTTTGGAATACCAATTCCAGCAGTTCTATAGTTATCATTTCTCCTGGTGGAACAAATAAAACAATGAATGAACTTCCATGTGATACAGCTCACTATGCTTTCCTTTCCTGTGTAGTGGGGACTCTCACCTTGGCAATATTTCTACGTGTATCTTCCTTGCCAAAAATTATACTGCTGCTTTTTGTTACTATTTTGTACATAGTTATTCTGGAACTCAGTGGTTACAGAAAAGCAGTGGGGTAGGTGTCTTGCAAAGTCAAAACAATGGTGTTTCTTTATAGATAGTCATTGCATTTACTATTCATCTCTGAATCACAGAATCATAGGGGTTGGAAGGAACCTCTGCAGATCATGTAGTCCAACTCCTCTGCTAAAGCAAGTTCCCTACAGTAAGTTGCATGGGGAAGAATCCGAGCAGGTTTTGAGTATCTCCAGAGGAGATTCCACAACTTCTCTGAGCAGCTTGTTCCAGTGTTCTGCCACTCTCAAAGCAAAGAAATTTCTCTTTGTGTTCAGATGGAACTTTCTGTATCCCAGTTTGTGCCCATTGCCCCTTGTCCTGTCACTGGGCAGTGGTAAAGAGCCTGGCCCCGTCTCCTTGACACCCATCCTTCAGATATTTATAAGCATAGATAAGATCCACCCTCAGTCTTCTCCTCTCCAGACAATCAGTCCCAGGTCTCTCAGCCTTTCCTCACAGGGGAGATGGTCCAGGCCCCAGTCATCTTTGTAGGCCTCCTCTGGACTCTCTCCAAGTAGTTCCTTGTTTTTCTTGAACTGAGGAGTCCAGAACTGGACACAGTATTCAAGATGCGGACTCATCAGGGCAGAGTAGAAGGGAAGGGTGTCCTCCCTTTATGCTCATTTTAATGTACCTTTTGGCCACACAGCACACTGCTGGCTCATGGTCAACCTGTTGCCCACCAGGACACCTAAGTTCTCTGCAGTTTCTTTCCAGCAGATCAGCCCCTAACCTGTACTGATGCATACAGTTATTCCTCCCCAAGCGTAGGACTATAACTTGCCCTTGTTGAACCTCATTAGGTAACTGCCTTCTAGCATTCAAGTGCTGCTCAAGATTGTATCCTTTGCAGAATGTGAGAAATATTGTTGGATCTAATAATATTGAATCATTTTGGGGAACTGTTGTCCCATTATTCTGAAGTTTCATGCTAATATATTTCATCTGATCATGCTGCAGTCTAATTGTAATATGAAATATATAAAAAAATGTTAAAGTCTTCACTTCCATATTTCAGAAACCCTCAACCAATTGTAATTTCAGTTAAACTTTTGAACTTTTGAGGGCTTTTATATTTTCTCAGTGAAAGTATGCAAACATATAAAGCAAACAAAGGCAATGAGAGAACCTTTATGAGAGATACAAGCACTAAAGAACAAAATATCAAAATCAATTCACTCTTTTCAGCAAGGGTTTGGAAAAAAGGGTGAGCTGAGGAATGCAGCCTTCTCGGGTTTGAACTCTGGCGAGCCAAAGGAGGGGGCAAACCAAGCAGGCTCTGAGTATATACGCGCTCCCAGAAACATGACCAGAAGCACCAGTGAGTGAGAGAGAGGAAGGGTGGATCTAGGCTGCCCCGCTCTGGGCTCTCAGGTGCTCACATACTGGTTTAGACTGTGACCTGGCTATTCCACTACAACACATTACAGTAATGAGTATAATTATAAAATCCTTGAGAACCTGAATGTCAATGAGATGCAGTCATAGTACTGTCACCTACCTCCCTGCCAGTATGAGCCACTTTGGAAAAGGCTGGACATTAGGGGACACGAACAGATTCCAAATTAAAGATTTTATATTAAAAATGTCCAATGCTTAGAGAACCTGGAATAACCTTTTTACTTTTACTTTATTTTTAAGGAGTGGATCCTTTTATATGCGAGGCTATGAACCAACACTAGCTATTTTGCTATTTTCTTGTGCTTTGGCACTGCATTCAAGACAGGTGGACTTGAAGCTACGTCTGGACTACCTCTGGGCTGTGCAGGTAAGTCATAGGACTTTCTAATACTTACGTACACAGAAAGTGTATATCTGACTTTATGAAACTGCTTAGAAATAACTGTCAGAACAAATTAGTGGAGCTAATGCATTCTGAAAATTAACAGCACATCATTGATGACATAATGTAATCTAAGGTACATTATGAATAGAGAGAATTTCAAGCTGGGAAGTTGACACTACCACTATGAAGTTGAGATAAAGAAATTAAATGTCTGGGTTTCTTTTCCTTTTTCTTTTTCTTTTTTTTTTTTTTTTTCTTTTTTTCTTGTTATAGTGCAAAAAGAATTTGATGTTCAGGTAAATTAAAAAGAAGCAAAACAAACAAACAAACAAAAAAGCACACCCCACAAAAAAAAAAAAAAAAAAAAAAAAAAAACTGATAAAAGGATATGTTCTTACACCATGGAATGGAACTGTGGAACTCTTTCCCAACTTCTTTAGAATACCCCAAAAATTAACTTTTTTTGGAAAATACAGCTGTCTTGGTTTTTGAGCCAGCAGTCAATGCATAAATATCGTGATGGCAACTTTCCTGAATGAGCCAACAGCAATAGGGGCAAAAAGATGAAGGCTTTATTGCTATTTAGCTATCTGAATAATATTTCTGCCAGTGATGTAAATACCTGCCATCCATATTATGTTAATCCTTTTTCTGTAGTCCCAAGTGCCCCTCCCTTTTCCTTATTTGCCTCAGAAAGAGTAATGCCTATAAATCCTTTTATCTCAGAGAGTAGGCACTAGGATTTTATGAGTCACAAAAAGGGAAAATATTTCATTTGCCCCTGAAGGGCAGAAAACTAGAAGATGAGAGAAAGATCCAGAAAATACCAGTTATTGGTTCGCTTTCCTCCCTACAGAGCTGTGCAATAGGATAGTTTTAGAATTCTCACTGCTGAATAAGATCAAATCTTTTTTAAGTTCACCTTTAATTGTTACCTTTGTTTGCAAAGAACACAAGGAAAGATTGCAAGGAACAAAAAGATACGAATACCCAACTCTGCATTAGTAGCAAAGAAGATACAATATAGTTCACATTGATAGCACATCCTTTTAAAGTTCCTAGCAGATCACTTAAAAGCTTAGATGATCTGCAGAAAGTTTACGTTTGACATGTCTGTACAGTGTAAGTGCAGTCCATACAGAGAGTGCAGCATGAGCACCAGCAGAATATATAGTGTGTGAATGTATGGGAACTACTGAGTCATGGCCTGAACCTCTGATTGATCACCTGAGGCGAGCCATGAGCCAGCCAGAGGAGCACAGGTGAAGGCAATTCACCTGTGCTGCCGGAAGGGATGGAGCCAGGCTGCACCCCTCCTAGACCTATTTAAGAGCTGGCTACCAGTGGGGAAGGATCTCATCTGGAGATCTCTCCTTCTGGTGTTTTGTGGTGAGCTCAGTGTAAGGATAAGCTTTTCATTTTATTCTCTTTTGTTATCATTGTCCACTTTGCCTAACTCTCTTGATTATATTGTGATTGTAACATCTTGATATCCATTGATTATACATTGTAACATCTTGATATCCATTGATTATACAGTGAACTAAGCTGCTGTACTTTGCTTTTTAACACGACTAAGTAGTTCCAAAGGAGCACTACGCTAATTTCATGAATATACTCTTCCTGATCTTCCAGATTAGGTCACACAGAGCTAGCTAAGCTTCTTCTTCATATCATTCTGTTATCCTATGTACATTCAACGTTCAAATATCTCCTTGAATCTCTTTTCTTCATGAGAGAAGAAAAGCCATCACTTCTTATTTCTCTGAGAAGGAAACAACTGGAACTGTAACAAGCTGGAGTCTCCATAAGTTGTTATATTATGATTATGTTTACTTCTGGTCATCAAAGGTTGGACAGAAATTCACCAACAAGACCAGGGTCACAAAGTCTTGCTTCAGTGCTGTTATATTTATCCTTGTTCAGAACGCTTTGTTGATAGAAAACACTGTGTGTAGTTGAAGAACGTTCCCACTTGTGTCATTCAAAATAAACAGTTTAGTTCAGGACTGCTCAAAAATGACCGTCCACATATGTCCAGCTCAGAAGAGAACAGCAAATGCCAATGACTGAGCAACATCACTGTCCATGCAGTGCATCAGATGGATTACTCCTTTTATCTATCCCTGCTTGATTGTGTTGACTTGTTCTTAATTCTCTATATCCTGACCCATATACATTTTTTTCCTTAGACCTTATATGGTATTGAGAGTGTAACTGAGAAACCTTAAAGGTTTTGAGAATTAGAGAAACTGATAGGTAAACAAAATGTAATTTAATTCAGGGCCTGAACCTACAAATATCTTTGCTGCTGTCAAATTTGCCATATTCTAGAATGCTATAAAAATGAAGTTGTAAGCTTAATTTGGATTAGCATCTGGAAAAAGAATTTTTACTACTACAGAATCATGGAATCATGCAACGGCTTAGTTTGGAAAAGACCTTAAAGATCATTTAGCTCCTGCTGGGGACAGTGATATCACCCACTAAATCAGCTGCTAGATCAAGTTGCCCAGGCACCCATCCAACCTGGCTTTTAATGGATGGAGAAACCACAACTTCTCTGAGATACCTATTCCAGAATGTCACCACCCCCTCAGTGAAAAATTACCCCCTAAAATGGGGGCTACCCACTGTAGCCTTCTCCAAGCTAAACAAATTCAGCTCCTTCAACCTGCCTTTGTAGGAGAGATGCTCCAACCCTCTCATCATCTTTATGGCCCTCCTCCAGGCTCACTCTGAGAGCTCCATGTCTTTCTTGTGCTGGGGACCCTGGGCCTGGATTCAATACTTTAGATAGGTCTCACAAGAGCAGAGTAGATAGGGGCAATCACTTCCCTCACCTTGCTGGTCACCCTTCTTTTGAGGCAGCCCAAGATATAATTCACCTTCTGGGCTGCAAGTACACAATGCTAACTGATGTCAAGCTTTTTTCCATCAGAACCCTCAAGCTGTTTTCCACAGGGCTGCTTTCAGTGAGTTATTCTCCCATTCTGTACATATACCTGGGACTGCCTTGTTGAATCTCATCAGTTTCATGTGGGCCCACTTTTCAAGCCTATTCATGTCCCTTTGGATGCCATCCTTTTCTGCTATTGTATCAACTGAACCACTTACCTTAGTGTTGCCTGAAAACTTGCTGAGGATGTACTCAAGTCCCACTGTCTATGTCATTGATGTACCCCTGGGGGACACCACTAGTCATCAGCCACCACTTGGAAAAATAGCTGCTGACCTCAAATCTCTAACTGTGAACATCCAACCAATTCTCTACCCATCAATAGTCCAGCCTTCAAATCCATATTGCTCTAATTTAGAGACAAGGATGTGGTGTGGGACCGTATCAAAGGCTTTGTGTAATTCCAGGAAGATAGCATCAGATTTTCTTCCTTTGTCCACTGATGCTATCAATTCCATCAAATAAGGCCACCAGTTCGTTCACGCATGATCTGCCCTTGATGAAGCTGTGCTGGCTATCTCAGATCATCTCCTCATCTTGCATGTGCCTTAACATACCTTCCAGGATCATCCATGATCTTCCCAGGAATAAATGTGCAGCTTACCAGCCCCAGGTGTTCCTTTATCCCTGTCTTAAAAATGGGAGTGATTATTCTTCTCTCCAGTCACTGAGAACTTCACCTGACATCCATGACTGATATGATATGACATGACACAACATGACATGATATGATGGGGAGCAGGTTGGCAACCACACCATCTAGTTCCTTCAGGACCCTGGAATGCATGCTATCTGACTTCATAGGCTTGTACATTTAGTCTCATGAAAAGTCTTGGACTTGATCTTCTCTTACAACTGGATGGATATTGCCTAAATGCTCAAGGATGTGAGAGTGATGTGTAGAGCCCGGCTGACGTTGAAGACTGAGGCAAAGGACTTGTTGAGTACTTGTTGAGCCTTCTCCATGTTTGTTGAATCTAGTTCTCCCTTCTCATTTATCAGAGGGTGTACACTCTGCTTCTTCTGTACCTTCAGAATCCATTCTTTGCATCTGTTGCCAAATTCAATTCTATCCATGCCTTGCCTTTTCTCATATGATCTCTTCATGTCTGGACAGCATCCCTGTTTTTCCCTGGTTTTCACTATCTGTACATTTTCTTCTTTTCTCTCAGTTTGACCAGTAGGTCCTTGTTTAACCACACAAGTTTTCTGCCTCCTCTTGATTTCTTATGCTGGAAGATGGAGCGCTCTTGTGCTCCCTGTCCATTTGGTTTAATTTTTAAGAAAATTAAATTCCAATAGATTACACAGTGTAAGAGGCCATCAAACATACTTATCAACTTCAGAAAGGCAGAGACAGAGTTATATCTCCAAAACTGGAAAAGGGTATTTTAATAAAACCTTTTTAAAATTAAGAAGCAGAAAAAAAGAGCACACAAACAGGAAATAGATATTTGCTTAGAATAAAATTTTAAAGTATATTTCTTGTAGAGACTAAATGAATAGGTGATATTTACTGATATTTACCTCTGAAATAATTTGATTCTTATTGCATAAATTAGAGGAAGAGCTAAGAATTTATTTCAAAATTGAATGATTCGTGAAGTTACATTTACAAAGCCAGTACTCTTTCAAAATTATTTCTATTTTTAAAGGAATTTAATAATACAGAATTAGACTCCCAGGCAAATTGTGACTTGAATAAAAACCATTTTCCTTGAGTTTTATCATGGAAAGCAAAAATAGGTTTCTTGGAAAAAAAAAAGCAACCACAAACATTATTAAAATATACACCAGGAAGAGGTGACACTTGAACATTAATTGATAATGAAAAAAACTATGTGGACTTTGTATGGAGAGCAAATTCCATACACAAAGGGAAACAAATAAAGGTTAGAGCAGATCCTTAGTTGTTTTATATTATTGTAATTTCTCTGAGAATTTTATCTGCCAGTCTTTTGTTGCTGTAACTTGATGGAGAAAAGTCATATTGGAATTACTGCAGAATTGTGTTACGATTCTTTGAGTGTGACTGAAGAAAAAGTTGTGATTTCCTTTAGATTAGTTATATAGTACTTATCAAATGTTTTATAATGAAAATCAGAATATAGGACCAGTAGCCACTTCAGAACAAGAAGTGAGTAATTTTGTAGAACAGTAGGCTGGAATCTCAAATGTGATCTCTAGATATGTATTACTTTTACAATAACGGGTCTAATTTTTAGAGTTGCTTCCTTATGTGTGGCTCTCACTGAATCCTGTGACTCAAGTCACTGTTAATATGATCTCAGAACTTTTGGTTAAGGACCTCAACTGTTATAACTCCTAGGCATATCCTTAACATTATCATTCCCATGAATGGTAGTCTGTGGTGCTGTTGTGCACAGGAGCCGTATATGTATTCATGACAAATGCTGATGTAATTAAAGCCATTTCTAGAAATGCTAATTATTCTTAATCTTTCATTATTATTATTATTATTATTATTATTATCCTGTCTTTCTGGAGCATTTTCAATACAAAGCAGTTTTCTCTGTTGATATCACTTTCTTACTGGGTCTGTTTCTATTTTATCATAAAATGACAATACCGTTTGCTTTAAATACCGATGATTCTCCAGGCTTCCCTATCTTGAAAGTTAGATCAAATACTCTTGTTTTTATCTTCTCCTACCTGAAAATAAGTAATTGAACACAAAGGTCAATATCATACAATCATAGAATCGTTTGGGTTGGAAGGGACCTTTAAGATCACCTGGTTCCAACCGCCACTACAGGCATGGACACCTCCCTCTAGATCAGCTTGCTCAAAACCCCATCCAGCCTGGCCTTTAAATGCTTCCAGGGAGGGGGCATCCACAGCCTCTCTAGGCAACCTGTCCCAGTGTCTCATCACCCTCACAATAAAGAATTTCTTCCTAGTATCTAGTCAAAACCTACCCTCTTTCAGTTTAAAGCCATTTCCCCTCCTCCTGTTGCTACCTGCCCTTATAAAAGGTCCCTCCCCAGCTTTCCTGTGGGCCCTCTCAGGTACTGAAACGCTGCTATAAGGTCCCCCTGGAGCCTTCTCTAAGCTGAAGAGCACAATCACTCTCAGCTTGTCATCTGAGGGCAGGTGCTCCAGCCCTCTGAGCATCTTCATGGCCTCCTCTGGACTTGCTCCAACAGCTCCATGTCCTCCTTGTGTTGGGGGCCCCAGAACTGGACACACTACTCCAAGTGGGGTCTCACCAGAGCAGAGGAGAGGAGCAGAAGCACCTCCCTCGACCTGTGGTCATGCTTCTTTGATGCAACCCAGGATATGATTGGACTTCTGGACTGCAAGCATACACCGCTGGCTGATATTGAGTCTTTCATCAACCAACACTTTCAAATCCTTCTCCTCAGAGCTGCTCTCAAGCCATTCTCTGCACAACCTGTGTCCGTGCTCGGGATGGCCCTGACCCAGATGCAGGACCTTGACTTGTCCTTGTTGGACTTGATGAGGTTGGCATGGATGTGTTTGACAGGTGGGCCCAGGTTTCTCTGGATGGTATCCCTTCCCTCTAGTGTGCCAACTGCACCACTCAGCTTGGTGTTGTCTGCAAACGTGCTGAGGGTGAACTTGATCCCACTGTCCATGATGCCAACAAAGCTATTAAATTGCACCTGTCATAGCACACATCCATGAGGAACACCACTTGTCACCTGTCTCCACTTGGACATTAGGCCACTGACCACAATCCTCTGAGTGCAACCATCCAGACAGTTTCTTATCCAGAGGGTGGTCCACCCATCAAATCCATTTTTCTCCAATTTGGTGACCAGAATGTAATACAGGACAATGTCAAACAGGTAGATGATGTCAGGTGCTCTTCCTTTATCCCTTGATGTTGTAACTCCATTGTAAAAGGCCACCAAGTTTGTTAGGCAACTTCATCTGCCAGTTCCTTCAGAATCCATGGATGAATCTTGTTGGATTCATGGATTTGTGCACTTCCAGGTTCTTTAGATGATCTTGAACCTGACCTTCACTTACAGCAGGCAGATCTTCCTTCTTCTCATTCTTACCTTTACCTTCTGCAACTTGGGCTGTGTGGCTAGAGTTCTTGCCACTGAAGAGTGAGGCAAGAAAGTAATTGAGCACTTCAGCCTTCTCTGTAACCATCATGACCAGGTCTCCAGTTTCCTTCCAGAGAGGGCCCACATCTCCCCTGGCCTTCCTTTAATTGCTGATATATACCTGTAAAATTTCTTCTTGTTCCCATTTTTGTCCTTGGCTAGATTTAATTCTATCTGGATTCTGCCTTTCCTAATCTGATCCCTGGCTGCTTGGACAACCTTTTTGTAGTCCTGCCAGATACCCATTCCTGCTTCCACTCCCTATAGACTTTCTTTTTGTGCTTCCTTAAGTCTAGGAGCTTCTTGTTGATCCACAGAGGCCTCCTGGCATTCTTGCCTGCCTTCCTTTTTCTGTATTTTCTATAGCATAAAGAAAATTTTAGTACCTGTTTATGAGTGCGCACTTATAAGAGCAGAGGTCTATATCAGATGTCAATATGAATACTTAATCAAGCATTGAAAGCTTTTTTTGTTCAGTTTAATGTCAGCTAATTTCTATTTTTTACATTTTGGAAAATTTTTTATTTTCACCTGTCCCCACAGGCAGAAGAAGAGAGAGATGATATGGAGAGAGTCAAGCTGGATAATAAAAGAATTCTCTTCAACCTATTGCCAGCACATGTTGCACAGCATTTTCTTATGTCTAATCCAAGGAATATGGTAAATCAAGATAAACTTTAAATATGAAGTGCTGTATGATCTGTCTTTTGTAGCATGGGTCACCTTTCAATTGTCTGTTTTCAAGAAAAGCTTCTACATTTGAAATTTCATTCAAGACAAAATAAATGACTTTGTAAATACTTGCATGTGGGAATTTGTTTGGAATTACTTTCTCTGCAGTGTCCTCCTCCTCTGAAGAAACTGTTACAAAAAGGATAATGGTATTTTGTATCATTCAACATCAGTGTAGCTGTGGGTTGACTTAATTGCAGCATTCCATTACCTAAAGGGAGCCTACAAACAGGAGGGGAGTCAACTATTTGAAAGGGTAAATAACAGCAGGACAAGGAGAAATGGATTTAAGATGAGGGAGGGAAGATTTAGGTTGGATGTCAGGGGGAAGTTCTTCACAGAGAGAGTGGTGGGGTGCTGGAACAGCTGCCCAGAGAGGCTGTGGATGCCCCATCCATCCCTGGATGTGTTCAAGGCCAGGTTGGATGGAGCCCTGGGCAGCCTGGTCTAGTGTTAGGTATGGAGGTTGGTGGCCCTGCCTGTGACAGGGAGGTTGGAGCTTGATGATCCCTGAAGTCCCTTCCAACCCAAGCCATTCTGTAATTCTTTGATTCTGTGACTCTATGATTCTATGAGTCTCCGTGCAAATCACGGATTTCTTTTTTAATTGAGTTAGAATACACAAATTTATCACAGTATTTCATAACTTCAGTTTCAAAGTATAAAGCTTCTTAATGAACTGCTCTAATTCTGTATATACATTGCTCCTACCAAAGGCAATCTTTAAAGATTAAAATAGAGAATTTTTCACACTTCAAAGTCTGTAATAATGCTGGTTGAAGAAGGTCTCACAGGCCTTCTTCCAGAGTAGCTGCAATATCTGTAGCAATAATGTAGCCATAATGGCCACAACACTTATAAACTATGTGTCTCTGTGTTTTGGAGTTTGAACTAATGCATTTGGTTTGTTTGGTATCACTCCAAAAGTAACGCCTCCTATTTATTTCCAAGGAGATGTGAAGAGCATAATGACACTACTTGAAAGAGCACATACTCAGCTACAAAACACAATTTTCAACAGTTATGCCATTAGCCATGCGTTTTTGCCAGTTATTAACAAGAGCTTGCATGTCACACTTGCAAATATTTGCACCAGTGGAAATGACACAGTTTCACAGCTGCTACTAACAGCATCATTTCTAAGAAAAGGTTGCTCACACAGTCAATCTTTCACTGACTCAAAAACATGGAAATCAAAAGGTGCCAAATTAGGACTATATGATAATTGTAGATAATTGGTAGAGAAGTCCAGCCAAGATTGGCAGCGTACTCCATGGTCTTCACATCTTCTAGGATGGGGCCTGGCATTACTGTGTTGCAAGAGAAAGGTTGTCTTATTCTCTGGCCTTACGCTGAAAGTTCAAACTTAATTAGCATCACGTAAACAGTTCCCTGGCTTTAATCCACCAATTCATGCAGATAAGCTGATGTAGATAAGCTCTTCAACTCATGGTGTGACAGCTGTGCATGTATGACAATCCAGAACGTGGCTTATCTTTCGCATTGTTGCTGCCACTGCTCCAACATACCACCAACTTCCTTGCTGTGCCAACATCCACCATTTGGTTTCCGTAACCATTCAGCAAGTGTTTATGAATGTCAATGGGTGCAATTTTTTCTATGCAGAGGAATTCATTTACATATCTTTGTTTCATATGCACTTCCATGTTAGATGCTATTTTGTCAGACTTCCCCTTTGTTTACATCTGTCACAAGATAACAAAATTTAATGGAATGTTGGTGGGAAAGGTCAACCCCTACTGCCATACCACCAGTATCTGCCTCTGATGTCATATGCCAACATAATAAAACAGGAGGCATTACTTTCAGAGCAGCCCTTGTATTTGATCCAAACCACAGACCTGAGTCTGCTTTCTGTTAGCTCTACGAATTCTTAAGCAGAAACCTTCACAGACAGCAAAATTATACTCTTACTTCTGAATATATGAGTCTGCAACTCTCGGAAAGAGATGAAAGAGCAAGGCTGATTTTGTGCTGCAGGGTTAAATTCTTCCTTCTCCTATTTTAGCTATAAAATAATTTTTTAAAAATGCAGTGATTTTTCCTATATAATAAAAATTTTAAAACTGTTCAGATTTTCTATTTGTTTCCATCCATTCTTCCTTAAACAGGGGAAAAAAAATAAAAGGAAAAAAGAAAATGACTCAGTTGTTTTAAATGGGTTTAATATCTCAGATTTAAATAATATTTTGTGTTTTTGAGGGGATAAAAATCTTGCCATTATTTTTCAATAGGACTGGCTTTCTCTCTACAAAAATGATGACTTTTGTAATAGCTATCAATGCAATTGCTTTTGCTATTTGGCAATAAAATACATATAATAATGACCGTGTCTGCTATAGATTAAACAATTTAAATAAAATCATATTTATTCATGTACTGCAGGACCTTTACTACCAGTCTTATTCACAAGTGGGAGTGATGTTTGCTTCCATCCCAAATTTCAATGATTTCTACATCGAACTGGATGGCAATAATATGGGAGTGGAGTGTTTACGCCTGTTAAATGAAATTATTGCTGATTTTGATGAGGTAAGGTTTAAACATTTTGTGCTTCAAGTGTATCAGATCTTCACTTTTGTCTGCAGAAGTTATTTGTAATAATTCAGTATACTTTGAACTGCGTAATAAAACAGTACTGTTAACTTCTTATTGGATTATAATGTGTATTCACAGGGCTTCCCTCTAAAGCTCCTGATTTGTACTCATAAATGCCTGAATCTGACCTGAAAGTCCTCTAATGTAGGAAAAATATTAAAATGCTTTTTTTAATTTTTTAATGACCTCAAAGTGAACAAGCCTCAATTTATCAAACCTAGTATGGTTTAATTGGCTTGCATATATTTTCTGATAACTATGGTTTCTTGCCTAAAATACTATGTAATATTTAACAGTTTTATGTTTTAAACAAAGCTTATGGACAAAGAATGTTATAAGGACATAGAAAAAATCAAGACAATTGGAAGTACATATATGGCAGCTGTGGGACTTGTACCTACTTCAGGAACTAAGGTAAGAAGATTTACATGACAGTTATTGTGGTAGAAGAGTTTTCCTCCAGTTTCCAAATGAACAGCAGAAACACAACCAAAAATTACAGATAATTTGTTTTACTTCTTTATAACAATTTAAATATGAAATTCAAATATCAAGCTGAAAAAAATATCTAAAACCTATAAAGAAATATGGCTACCCTAGCAGTTACTCATGTGGCATTGTTTGGATTTGAATTCTTTGCAAGCTGGTGTAAAAAGCTCCCAAATCAGAATGATAGGATTTTAAACTCAGCATCATAGATATTCTTGTAGAATGCGAGAGGGGGGAACTCTAAATGTAATTAACTGTTGTAAAATAACAAAATATTCTTAAAATGTGATTGTTTTTCTTCATTATTTTGAAATTTAGGAGCAAAATCCTATTACATCTAGGAACATAGTGCTACACATGTGAGTGCTGTACATTATTGCACATCACCATGATCCCTCCAAATTAGATATTTTTCATCTCTACTGCTAACATTTTTCTTATTCCTTTAATTACTTAGCAATGAAAAAAAAAAATCAAAATCATTTCAGACCAGTAGTATTGGATACAGTTATTCTGTTATCTCCTTAATCCTTCTGTGTGTATTTCTAAGTTTGATTTTGGGTTTGGGGATAGCTATTTCCTATATTTGCATGCAGCATCTGAAAAAGCAGAGAATCACTTGAGCAGAATACTGAATATATTGTATATTGTACAATGAGAATAAAAGTAACATGAAAGCAATCCATGCACCCAGTCTTTACTGATTTTTGTGAGATCTTACCCCCCTTCACTGAATCACAGAATGTCTTGAGTTGGAACAGACCTTAAAGATTATCTAGTTCCAACCCTAATAGGCAGGATACCTTTTACTAGATTAGGTTACCAGAGCCCCATTCAACTTGGCCTTCAACACTTCCAAGATCTACAGCTTCTCCAGGCAACCTGTTCCAGTGCTTCACTACACTTCTAATGAATAATTTCTTCCTTATATCTAACCTAAGTCTACCCTTTTTCAGTTTAAAACCATTGCCCTTTGTCCTGTCACTTCACTCTCTTATAGAGTCTATTCCCATCTTTCCTGTAAACCACAGTTAGATACTGGAAGGATGCTAGAAAGTTTTCCTGGAATCTTCTCCACTTTGACCTAAGTAACACCAATTCAGCCTTTCTTCACAGGAGAGGTGCTCCAGCCCTCTGATCTGCTTCATGGTCCTCCTCAGGACTCCAGCAGGTGCATGTCTTCCTTATGCTGGAGGCCCAGAGCTGAACACAGTACTCCAGCGGGGGTTTCAAGAGAGTGGACTGGAGGGGGAGAGTCATCTCTCTTGACCTGCTACCTACATTTCTTTAGCTGTATTCCAGTATGCAATTGTTTTTGGGGATTGTAAGTGCAAACTGCTGCATTGTTTTCAGTTTTTCAACAACCAACACCCTCATGCCGCTCTCCACAGGGCTGCTCTCTATCCATTCATCATCCAGCCTGTATGCATGCTTAGAATTTCCCTGAGACGAGTGCAGGATGTTGCACTTGGTCTTGTTGAACCTCTCAGCCTGTCAAGGTCACTTTAGATGACATGTGTCAATGACAACACTCATATATAAACTTGAGGTTGCATTTAATCCCACTGTCCTTGTTGTCTATAAAGATATTAAATAATAGCAGTCTCAGTGCGGAACCCTGAAGAATACCACTCATCACAGGTTTCCACTTAAATATTGAGCCATTGCCCACACTGCAACCATACAGCCAAGTCTTTATCAACTGAGTGGTACATCCATCAAAGCCATGTATCTCCACTTTGGAGGTAAGGATGCTGTGTGGAGAATGTCAAATACTTCGCCCAAGTCCAGGTAGATATGGATGTCTTCTGAGGCATGCATGTATGTGTGTTGTAGGAGTATACTCACGCATATGATTTAGAATTGAAAAAAGCAAGATGGCCTGTGAACTTTCTAGAAACAATAATCTTTTTTAGGTGATAAAATATGGAGGATACATATGGAGGATACACTGGAATATATTTAAAAGCAGCTTACTTTCTAGTTGGTAGATAGGGTGGTTTTTTTTTGTTTTTTTTTTAATCATTCCTGGACTAAAAATCCAGGCTTTAATAAAGGTCCTTTTTAATGTTGTGTTTATGCTGAAAATGCTTCACTCCTTCATCCTACAACAGGCAGAAAATTGATCCTTTCAATTTTTTCTCACATGATCTGAGACAAACAGGCAAAAGCTTATTTGTGTGTCTGCTATAAATGCTCTTTGAACTATAATCCTGAAAACAAGTGTGTTATTGCGTAATTTTGGCAGCATATGTACCAAAACCTAAACATGTTTATCTCCAGTGCTTTATGGTTGCTAACTGAAGGGTCAGCTGAGTTAGTTCAGTACAAAAGTTACTGCTCTGAGTTAATGATAGTAATGCATTCTAAATCACAGCAGAAATCCTTGTAGAGGACTATGCCTTTTTTCTGAAATCTTGGGGCAAATTCTGATCTTTTCTGTACAAGTAGAATTATTATTATTTTTTTATATTTCAGACTCCCCAAAAATCTAAAAATCTTTTATGAATACAGACAATATTTTCAACTATAAATTTGTTTTTCATTCTTCTGTAATCTCTTCTTACTGTCAGTGTGATGCAAGTGAGTGGAAATCATTCAAATCTTCTTGGCATTTTCCTAGATCTTCAGCATGCAGCCATTTATTAAAAGCATGATGACCGTGTGTAGCTTACTATGTCCAGATGATCACTTCCAGATGTCCACACAATCCCTTGTCTGCCCTACAGAGCCAGCTGTGTTCATGGGAAGCTACTCCAGATACAGAAATTCCTTGTCTCCCTTCTTGCAAATGGTGTCCCAAATTCGTAAGAAAATCTGCTGCAGCCTCGAGTTTTATGAGAGGTATTGCAGGAAATCAAAGCATGCATCAGACAGCAAGAAACAGGAAGGAAAAATGAATAAAAAGAAAATTAAAGGATTGAATAAAGCTATGGACTTTTTCCTCTTTCAGACATCCAAAATTCTTCACCTTCTCTGTTGGAAGTGCAGTCATGAACTCTACTTTGAATTTAATTCCTATTTTTCTTTGTCGTTGTGAGATTGGAAACGAGTAGAGCCAGCTGATATTGCAAGAAACAAGTAAAGAAAATATTCCTCCTAAAACCTGGGACTTGCTATGGACTGGCTTTCATCATTTTTTGTTAATATTTTGCTCTATTTTGTAAAAAAAAATTCTCAGCTGTATGAATGAACCTTCTCAAACTTAGCCCAAAGGAGGCAAATAGCAATGTTTCTCAGATTCTTCATCCACAGTCAATTTAGAAAATCTCACTGACATGTCAAAAATTCAGTGAACTTTCATCTCACACCAGCTGCCATAGCTGTATTGTGCAACACCCTACTGAAGGTAGACAACCACTGACCCCGCATTCCTTTCACCATATCCTACCTTTAGCCTACTTCCATTTTGCAAATCTGTTCAAGAATTCCTATTTATTATTCAAATAACAGAACAACATAAGAGCAACAATACTAAGTCAGGTCAAATGTCTATTTTGGTAACCTCTTTTAAATGCTCCAAGAGTAGATATTGGAGTTACAGGACAAAAACGCAATCTGTTTCTATTTTTTAATGATATGCTGTGTAGGAAATTCTAGAACTACAGCTAGCATCTTTTTACCAATTTGTAGCAATTATTTTTTCCATGAGTTAGTGTAATTATGTTTGAATTTAGCTAGAATATTGAAATTTACAGCATCCTCTGAAAATGAATTCTGCCATTTAATTAGACTGTAAATGTAAAAAGTACTGACTTTTGTTTTGTTTTTTTTTCTTTTTTTTTCTTTTGTTTCTTAATCATGGTACTTCATAATTTCATTTGATCACTTTTGGTTCTTTTGCTTTAATTCATTTAGATATGTTTCATAACAAGTCACTTCAGCTTGCCTGGAAAACAAACAAAAAGCATAGATCAGTTCTGCATCTCACAGGACTAAACATAACAGGAATTTTGTCAGTGGCAACATCATGGAATCACAGAGCTGGAATCTATCAAAGTCCCCAGAGGGAGAAAATAAAGAAACTGTAGTTATTAACAATCATCAGGCAGAGTGGTTTTGTAAAAAAAGCTCAATGCTCACAATGAATATCCACAGCAGAGTTACTTCACCATGGGAACTTCACTTTCCATTCTTCCCAAAAATCAGAAAAAGAGAATGGGAAAAGAGAAGGAGAGGAGAGAAGAGGAGAAAGGATTCACTAGTTGAGAAAACAATGCTTATTCTGTAGTCACTATCAAAAGCTTCTTTTCACAGACAGCAAAATATGTTGGGTTTCCTAAGTTTTCCACTCATTCCAGTCATTGTTTTTTACACTCTGATGTTTCACCTGCCTATCAGTTCTATGTAAATCTAATGCTTAACACTGTTTTGTTTCTAGGCTAAAAAATCAATTTATTCCCATTTGAGTACACTCGCAGATTTTGCAATAGAGATGTTTGATGTTCTTGATGAAATCAACTATCAGTCTTACAACGATTTTGTCCTAAGAGTTGGTAAGCCATTTTTCTACAATTACCACACAAGTGAAACACTTGTTATTTAGCTTTTTTTTTTTTTTTTTTACTGTTTCCAAAGTACTCTCTGTCCAGTACTCCTGACTAAAACAAAGATGACTTGTGTCCATTTCTAGTGTGTTTACTTTGTCTATTCACACCTAAAAGAAAATTATACAATATTATTAGTGTACATAGTATTGTAACTTACATGTTGTGCTGCTGATCTGGTGTAAATTGAGTCTGGCTGCATTTGGCTGCCAGGAAATCCAGCATTTGCAGAGGCTTCCTTGGAATTAAGTATGGTGAGAGTTCTTCATAGATCCTAGAATCGTAGAATATCCTAAGTTGGCAGGGATCCACAAAAATCACTGAATCAGGAGTTGAAAGGGACCCTTGGAGTCCTCTGGAGATCATCTAGTCCAACTCCTCTAAAGCAGGTTCCTTGGAGTCCAACTCTTCTCTCCATATTGGTCTGCCAAAATTTTAAACCATATGTGTGAGAATATTCTCCAAATGCTTTTTGAACTACAGCAATTCTGGTGCTTTGACTCTCGTTGAACAACCTTTTCCTAATACCTAGTCTGACTCACCTGTGACACAGTTACAAGCCATTCCCTCAGGTCCTGTCACCAGAGAGAAGAAATATTCTCCTCCCCTCCAAATCACTTCAAACAGTCCTTTCTGCCAGGACATAATTTGAACATAATTTCTCAATAAGAAAGACTTATTTCAAGGATGGAATTTTTGCTTAGAGAAAGCCATAGAGAAGACTAAGATTCTTGCCATTCAGAAAGAACTAGAACAAAGTGTTTGTGAATCTGCCATGCCTTAAAATCCAAGTTATTGCACCATGATGACAAAAAAAAAAAAAAAAAAAAGCTCAAAGTTTTTATTACAGACATTCATTCATTTTGTGTAACTAACAAAATTACAAATTGATTAATAATTTATTTGAAAGGGAAAATTTCGTTATAAATTTCAGCACTTGATGGAGTTTCTACGGATAATCTTTAAATACTTGAATATTTGAGTGTTCAAATAAATTCAGATATTTAAATATGTAGATATTTTGCATATATAAGAACAGAGGTTTAGCTTCAATTCAATTTTGAAAAAAACACCTTACATCTTGACATCTTTTCTTCACTTGAAGAAATTTTCCTGATGAATTCTAGACTGAATGTATATTGTTTCAAAAGTTCTACCTTTACTGCTTTCTTATGTAATTATTGCATTCTATTTTTGTCAATGTTCACGCTTGTTTTTTGTGACTGTTTTCAGATTTTCTGGCCTTGACAACATGATCCTTCCCATGCAATCCTTTATATGTTACTCCATGTCTTACCCCTGAGTCCTTTCTCTCCAGTTTCTATATATTTTCATGCATAAATTGTGAAATCAGGCTAGACAAGTGGAAAACTGATCTATCAGCATAGTGAGAAACACATCAAGGATAGCAATGGTAAACTTATACGTCTTTGTCCTCCTGCACATCCAGTAATTAGAAGTCTGAAATTCTTTTTGTACTATGCTGTAACTGGTCTTCCCTAGTTCAAAAGGGGCAGAAGACAGCTATTTAAACCTCATTCTACTGCATAACTTGCCTGAAAAGACACAGATATTGTGGAGGTTTTTCCATCAACATCTCTTCAGGATGGTGAGAAGATGGAATATCCCACTTTGTCTTTCAAATATGGCATCAAAATCAGTCAGAAATGTAGAGATAAGCCCAGTGGTTTCCCAAAAAAGTGCTTGAGCTATTTGCACATACTGTCTTCTTCTTCAGTGTTTCCCTGAGTTGTCTATTGCTGATAAGCAATGTGACATACTTCTCTTACTCCATTTATTGTGTTTCATGGTCAATATTTCTGTTCACTTGGAAAATCTGCTACTAAAAGGCGTTAGAGGAGCAATCACAGTGGAATTCATACCAAAAAGATGAAAGATATTTTAAAAATTGTATTGGATTTTTCCACAGCTAAACTCTGCAGTACCACTACTTTTCTTTCTTGAAACAAAAAAAAAAATCTACAGATAAACCAAAATTTTATGTTGCATTTCCAATAAGATATTGGTGTGTATGTCCTTGTTTCGCTTCTAAACTCTTACAAATGCAGAAGTTCAGTTGACATTAACACACTTTGTGTCCTATGATCGGAAAAATTCTGAGGCATCTTTTTTGTAGGATTTATGCTTTTTGATTTTAGGTATTAATGTTGGGCCTGTAGTAGCTGGAGTCATTGGAGCCAGAAGACCACAGTACGATATCTGGGGAAACACTGTAAATGTTGCCAGCCGGATGGATAGTACTGGGGTGCAAGGGAAAATTCAGGCAAGTGCATTCCAAGATAATTTTGCAAACTTTATGTATCTTCTGTTTTATATATCACTGTGTTTTCTAAGCAGTCTCGAAAATTTAACCATACATTTCATGAAGAAGTGAAGCATATAATGGAAAACAACTTACTCCAGCTTACAAAAGTGGATAATTTGGCTACATATTTCTGATGGATAGAGCTTGATTAGCTCACACCAGAAGTTCTGATTCTCAGATTCTAGTTTAATCAGTGATTTTTAATTATTTAAGTGAAGCCAGGAGCAGCAGTACATGCTAATTCATTCTGCTTATGTGCATTTCAGTATGGGTAATGAAAAGTGAAGGGAGCAGTTGGCAGTTCTAGGATTAATTCTGTGAACAGGAGAAATTAATCGTTCTTTTTTTTCTGTCCTTAGGTGACAGAAGAAGTTCAGCGAATATTAAAGAGGTGCAGTTATGAATTTGTGTGCAGGGGTAAAGTCAGTGTAAAGGGAAAAGGTGAAATGTTGACCTATTTACTGGAAGGAAAGGCCAATGGAAATAATTCACAGACACAGTCTTTAAACTTAGAGCGGAAAATGTATCCTTATGGGAGAGCAAATGTTCAAACAAAATTGGGCACCAGCTGTCCATCAGTGTCCTCAGTTGCTAGCTTAACTCCAAAAGCTGGCCTTGAAGCAGATCAAGCATCTACCACTCACACAAATCAAACACTGCATTATCTTCCTTCTGTGCCAGCTGTGAAGGAGGCATAGAGCAAAGGAAACTTTGCTATGAATGTGGAGAGCAATGGTTGCCTGAATTTTTACCAAAAGATCAGAGGTCATAGGCCATGGCATTAACCAAGGACCACTACAACCCAACCAAAGAGAGCTTGGGAGCTGTGTAATGAACTCTTGGGATGGAACATATAAGGGCTAGAAATTCTGTTTGAAGAGTCAAAAACCGATTTTCTGGAAATAAGGAATATTTTCTTGGCATTTTTAATGGATAAATGAAAAAAAAAAAGATAAACATGCAAACATTTATTTGTGTGTGTGTATATCTTTCAATCTGTATATGCACATATACAAACACTCATATGTAGACCTAGTATATATATATATATAAAAATAAAAATATGTATTTATTTACACATCCACTTGCAATGACATATCAAAGAGATTTCTCTTTTTGTCATAGCCAGCACTATTTGGTCTGGGATTAGAAAAGCTGCATTTGGAGTATGAGGCAGATGAAGGTTCTTTTGGGCTACAGCAAGGGTTAGATAAACTGTTCCCAGTGCATGAGTGAATAAAACATTGTTCATTGCACTGTCAATGGCCAAGTAATGAAGGCTGGATTCAGCAAATTGCTAAATACTATGCATTTTTAAATTTCTACTTGCATGCTCCAAAAACATGCATTGGGATATAAAGCAGATGAAGAACAGAGCTTAAATTTTGGCAGAAGAGCAATATGATGAGCTTTATTTGATGTTTTTTTGTTTGTTTGTTTGTTTGTTTTTGAAAAAAAAAAAAAACACAAAGACTGATAGGGTTTTTAAAATGGCTGATTCTTTAGAAGTCATTTGATTCTTTGTAAGGAGCCACCCTGTAAACACAGTAAAATGCTTATGCAATGTAGAAACATTCCTTTATATACAATATCAAAGAGCAGAAAGATGGTATTATTTCAGCCTTTTACAGATAGCATAAGTCCAACAGCTCGGTTCCAGGACTTAGCTATACCTTTTAAAGCATCTTAAAGAATTTTCCTACAGACAAACATACTGTTGCTAGGTTTGTGCCAGCTTTGTATGTTTGTCAACATAGTTTTATGTCTTATTGATTTTTAAATTGATGCCACAGATTATTTTTTTATATCTTGATTCTACATAGGCTCATGATTCAAAGCTGGACAATTATAGAAAACTATCATACTGAGAAACAAGCACAGTCAAACTTTGCACAAATGAAGATCTCACTAGTAAACAAGCCAGGAAAATGAGGACTGCACTTAATCTGAATAAAAGGGAGTATATTTTAATTGCTTTGTTTTTTAATGCAGCCCACATCTTATCATGCATGGTTTCTTTTTGAATCACCTGGATGGGAAATGTATTACACAGCTCTGTACTCAAGGAGAGTGAACTTGTCATGAAGGTGACATGCTTAGACAGCTGCTTTAATGTTCTAATGGGATTTCACAAGCTAACCAGCTTCACTGCTTTCCAAAAGAGAAGCAAAGATTTACACTGTTTAAGAGCACATAAATCAGAGTATGCTAGGTGAGACCATGCCGGGGAGGAGAGGAGAGGAGAGGAGAGGAGAGGGAGAAGGGCTGCAGATGTTGAGGTTATACTGATGAAAACTTGGATGTACTAAATGCCACATTTCACTTTGTGGAGGCTTACTTTTTTACTGATTTCAGTGGAAAGAGGAATGTGATTTTTATGCAATCAGCATTTACTTTGGAAAAGTTATGATTTTGTTACAAACATGTGAACAGATTTTGTGTCAACGGATGTAAATTGTTAGAGAAAACCTGCAGAAGTTTCTATTCTCCATGTAGCTGCATTCTGCAACGAGATTCAATGCTTTTCAGCAAGATTTTACCTCACTTTTCTGTATCCTGTCAGTTAGGTTTTTCTACAAAGCTAGCAAATTACTATTTTGCCTGAAATGATGTGAACAACCGAGGATTGCTTCCTAAGTATTAGATGTACGCACTGACTGACCCGTGACAGATCACTGAATTTCTTCATATCTGTAACAGCTATCCAGTTAACAAGTGTTATTCAGAAATTATTTAACTCTGTTTTGTAGGCATTCAAAGCCACTTAAATAAATATACATCGAGAGCACAAATTTAAAAGAATGAATATTTACAAATTGAACTGAATAAATGGTATCCATGAAAAGTGCACTGCACATTTTTGGTTTCTAGCAGGTTTATGAGAACAAAATCATCATGCAGTTAAGCTAAATATTTAACCAAAATGGAAAGTAATATATGCAAGAGCATTCATTTCTCAGTTCCATTAACAAAGAGATCAAAATATACAATTTTTGAATCAGCAGACTTGGTGAAATATCACCAATAATAATAACGCTTTATTTTTACTCTACAAAGCAGAGTAAATTTGAATCATTTGTTTTAATATTTTAAAGGACTAACAAGTGCTAGTGGAATTACTGTGGAGGTTTTCTAAGTCTGATCCTCTTCTCCAGCCTGCAAATAGAGCAAGTGTTTTAGGAAGGATGTCTTTCATCTTCAGTGGAAAGGACCATTCCATTGGCTAGCTACCTGTGGGGCACCTTTGCAGTAGTTAGTGCTTCTAGAGCAGCATGAGTGGACCCTGGATGGATTCTGGCATTGCAGCTAGTCCAGTTTGGCCTTGCTATCTTATGCCACTACTGATGGTGTATTTGAAGTCAGTTTCCAGACTTTGTCTGAGTCCTAGCATTAATGCTCTTTTTGTGGTTGTTGTTGCTGTTTTTATTATGGGAAAATCTGTATTTTTCCTACTTCTATGTAGTAGTGGACAAAGCAGTATAAAATTATGGAAAAGTCACAAAGTAAACAGCTGTGAAAAAAAGATTTTCAATTTTTACAATTTTTACAAACCATTCCTACAGGGAATATAAATTGTGATATGATGAAACTGGTTTTATGCCTTTGTGCATTTCCCTCTTTTCATATCATTTTCCTCCTTTTTTGTGTGTGTACATTTGTTTTATTTCAATTCTTGTACAGTAGCTTTAGATGACGCATAATATCTCTGCAGTATTGCATTTTTATCTCACCAAAAACACAGAGATAATAATGACCTCCGGTAACTCCATAAATGTACGTATTCTGCCAAATTAGAGAAGTCTGTCATAACTTTTTAAACTAAAAATTGGCTGAAGATTGTATGCAGCCAACTCCAATATCCCTTAAAATAGTTCTATGGGATTTGGATTGGACCTATCTTAATGCAATTTTTTACTGTCTTGCATTTATTAATTTTCTGGTCAAGCTCTGAAACTGTTGTCTGGATGACCTTGCTGTAGCACCGGCAAGGAGTCAGTTTTGCTTCACAGTACCCCAGAGTCCCTTACCTTTAACTGAAGGTAGCTAAATTATGTACTGTGGGCAGAATAGCCTCCTGCATTTCTGTTCAGTGTTCTGTGCAGCTCTTAGCTTGAAACAATTAACACATATGAGCCCTACAACAATGTGATGCCATTTTGGCATGTTAATGCGTGTCAACACCAAGCACAATATTTCACATCAGTTTGCACATTTTCTCTTTAAGATAACAGTAGTAGTTGAAGGTTTTTGTTCTTTATATAAGGAAATAAGTGTCAGAGATGTTCAAAATCTCTTTACTATCTTGGGAGCTAATTTCAAAAGTGTTCCCATGCTACCTTTATTTTGAAATGATTTTGTAACTACTATTCTATGCTGGCATTCAATTGCATTACTGGCTAGACATTTCCCAATATTTTCCATTCACACTGAGTAGAAAGCTATTTTATCCAACCTGTAAATTCATTGTTATTTGTAGCTGCTTCCAGCTGTAAGAAGTCACACTCTGTTGCCTTCACAAAAACACGAGCAAATTATCCCTTGCTTTCTCTAGGTGCAGGTAAAAGCCTGCAGAAATCACAAGAAGTTTAGAATGCTTACAGAAGTCAGGAGCTGAGCTTCTGAGGCCAAGTTTTGCTTTGGGTTATAGTGATGACTCCCAGTAGCATTGAGCTTAAATCGCTGTTTTACAACACTGTAAAAGAGTAGGTTAAGAAAGCCTGTTGTGTACTTTTGCTCATAATTTATCTGTAAGGCAAAAGTACTTGGGAGTTACTGTTTGAAGTGAAAAAGTATATGACCTGTGCCATTTCAGCACTTCGAGACATCCAATCACAGTAGTAACTAGAGTGAATCATTTTCATGTGTTAAATGAATACCTGCTCATAGGAGAAACAAATTATTTTCTCTGCATCGGCAAGTCCAGATTCTGTATGTGTACTGCCCAGGCAGGAGGACTATTTAGCCATAATGTTCTTTCAAGTTAGAGTTTTGTATTACAGTGAAAAACCAACATTTTTTAATTAGCGATAAACTGTATTATAATGCCTTATTTATTTTTAATCTTGTACAGTGTTACAAATGAACAGAAAACACTGGCCTTCATGTATTATTCACTTAAAGGATGTATTGTGTGAAATTTTGTAAATAGGTTTAGCTTTGACAGGTAATTGCATGTACACTTGTATAAAAAGAAGCAAAGAGGCACACTTCTAACAAATTTTTGTAACAGACGTTTTACATGTGCATGGAGAATATAAATCCTTTGGAAATGAATGTCCTTTTGGTTTTCCTTGCAATATACTGCATGCCATTCATGCCTGACTTGAGCAAAACAAATCAAAACCAGTAAGTTTTACTAAATGTTTTTGACATATCACTTCTGACAAAGTTAAATCCACTAGTTTGCATGTGTGTTTAGCAAAGCAAAATCAAAATGCAAAGATGAAAATAAGAAGAAAAGTATTTTAATGATCTGCCAACCGCAGTGTTCCAAGATGCATAATACAGTATACGAAATGTGATTCCAACTTCTATGCTGTCTTTATAAGGTACCTGCTGGTCATTAGAAGCAATAAACTTTACTTACTGTAACATAAAAAGCAAGAAGATATTCTAGTTCATAATTGTGTAATATTTGACATTCAATGGGTACTCTGTGATACTGCATTTGATGTAGTATTGTCATCATGCAGGACCA